AAGGAAATACCTTTGGTAAAGGTGCAGTGGCAGCATAGGAAGGGCTCTGAGTGGACCTGGTAGCCGGAGGCTAAGATGCGGGAGCATTACCCGAAGATATTCGTGTTGGATTAATGTCTAAGTCCATAACTATATTTGGTATGTACTTGACCCGACCCGGCATGGTCCATTTGGGTTGCACTTCACCGACATAATTTATATGGATAGTCTTTTGAGAATAGTATATTTATGATTTATATTAATATATTATAAGTTCTAATATATTAATATGGAATCATATTATTTAATTAGTATTTAGAATTAATAGAATTAAGTGATCAAAAAGAACTAATTAAATATGGACTCTTATATATATGGAATGGGCCAAGTTCATTTAGGTTGGGCTAAGCTTTCATGGATGGTCCATGGAGCTTTTAACCTATAGATCCTATGTAAATGAAAAGGTCATGGGTATTAGGGTTTACATGGATGTAACCCTAATCCTCCATAATATATAAAGGGGTCCTTGGCTCACAAAATTGGAACAAGTGTGTGAAAATAAGAGTGGGCCGATTTTAGTGTGCATACATATTCTCTCAAGTTCTTCCAAGGTGTTTTGGTGATTTGTGATTCCATTTGAGGCTTCCACACTATTGGGGCTAAGCTCTTAAAGCTTGAAGACATCAAGCTACATCAAAAGGTATGTCATCTAACTAGAACTTTGTAGTATAGGTGCTTCATAATATGCTAGTTAGGATGAAACCTTGGAATAGTTCATATTTGCATGTATAATAGAGAAAACATAGATCCAATGTTTATAGGGTTGCATGTACACCATAGGAGTGTTAGAATGCTCAAAACCCAACAATTCGCTGCAGCAGACTTTGAAGACGAAGTCTAGTTCAAGTGGGGGAGAATTGTAATACCCCGATGTTAAGGTGCTTCTAATTTCAACCCTATAATTATATTATATTGCGTTTTGATCCCTTAGTCCAAGAAAATATGCACTGGATCCCTAGTGGCATTTTCAATATTTTGGCAGGGAGGAGTACGCCATGCGTACTAGTGTGTACGCTGGGTGTACATCTATGTACGCAGGGCGTACTTGCTAAATGAGGAAACCCTAATTTTTAGGGTTTGGTTTGGTATTTAAGCATCCTTATGGCCTCATTTCCCTTCACCTTAACAACCTCCATCCTCTCTTTCGCGATTGTAACCCTAGAACCACCTTGTGAAGCCATTTTAAGCATTAAAGTGTGTGTTTGTGTGCTTAGAAAAAGGAAGGAACCAAACTCATCTTGGAGGGAATAAGCGCCTTGGATCTGAGATTTATTCTTCATTTGCAAGTCTCCAAAGGTATAAAGCTTGCACATTTGTCTTCCAATCTTGTAGATCTAGAAATGGGTGTTTTTTGTTACTTTTTGGTCCCAAATGTCTCATCTTGTGCATGGTTTGTTCTTGTCAATTTGAGTTGTCCTTTCAGACCCTAGGAGGGGTCATAAGCCATAAAAATGAAGTCCCATTGGTTAGAAATGATCCATGCATCTTGTGGAAGGTCTTAATGGATTAAGACCTTGAGTTAAGCACTTATTGGACTTGTAAAGTCATAAAGTTGGAAATTGTATGACTCTAGAGTGTATTTGAGCCTTAGATTTGGAATATGGACTTAAGTGCTTAAGTCATTAAGCACTTATTGGATTTTGAAGAATGCGAGCGAGGCTACACCTCGCGTACTCGATCAACCACCCCGATGGTAGTTAATCTGCGAGGTCTCGTGTACACCATGCGTACCTCCGGGCGTACTCGTACTGGGTCAGCCCGAATGAGTTGACTCGATTGGGTTTGACTCAGTTGACTTAGTGGGTTGACCAATTGACTTTGACCAAGTTTGACCATTGAGGGTATTTTGGGTATTTTTGGGATTTTGATGGAATTGTTCCTTGGTGGGTTTAGGTGCTGGTTAGAGAGCTCAGTTTCGGAGTCAGGGACCTCATCAGCTTATGTTCAGTTTGTGAGGTGAGTTTCCTCACTATACTTATAGGGCAAAGGCACCAAGGTCGGTCCATTGGTTGATATTCACTGATATGCTGATTATAGGATATATATGCATGTTTATGCTAGTTGTTCATATGCTAGACTGGTAGATCTGTAGGACTACCTGTGACTCTGTTGCATGATTATCTGTTTATGTTTATTATTTGGTATATGTCAACATATTGTGTTGGGTTGGGTTGAGGGCGTACTGCTCCGTGCGATAGCCAACAAAACCTGAAGCATTCCATATATGAGCTGAGGGTTGGGTAGGGCATGTCAGACTCATACTGAGGGCACATGAGCATTTCAGATACGAGCTGAGGGTCGGGTATGGCATGCCAAAATCGTACCGAAGGCTTGATGGTATTTAGTCCAATGACTGATCTGGTCGGGAGCAAGCCAGACATAAGTTGTGGGCCCCAAGGGCAAGCCAGACTTATGATGTAGGCTCAGGGGTAATCCAAACTTGTAGTTGTGGCCCCATTGCATGTTGTTATTGTATATTTATGTTATTTGGATATGTGTTGGTATTTTGGGGGAACTCACTAAGTGTTGGCTTACAGTTTTGGGTTATGTTTCAGCTACTTCAGATGACCGCGGAAAGGCGAAGGCGTGACCGTACACATCCTCATGTTTTGGACTTATGAATTTGGGAACTCTGATGTTGAAATGCTTTTGAAACTATGTTTGTAAACAATTTGTGAAGTTTGTTGGTTTTTTTAACAGTTTTAATTTATCAAGATTTTGACGATTGATCCTTATTGCTAGCTCCATTAAGTTTTGTCCATTTATTGAAGGACATTTTCGTCATTTCACTACCACAGGGACCATTTATGATGTTTTTGTCTTATTAAAAAAAATAAATATAATTATTTAATATATAAAGGGTCCCACCCTCTCTCTCTCCAAACTACCATTCATCTTCCCTATTTCAAACCTCAAATCCCTGTAAAAATTGAGACCCAAAAAAATCGTGATACACACATATACACCCTCTAGAAAATCGAGGTCCCTCTCCCCACTTACAAGAACATGTCTATGTAAAAGGATCAAATCGAAGAACCTTGAGTTTTATTCTTGAGGTGGGTCAACGAAGAATGCACATATATGTTTCCATGTTGAAATAAATGGCTCAAGAGCATTTCTTATCCAAACAATAGGATGTATTTTAGATTTCTCTCGTGTAAAGAAATAAAAATCCTAATAAAAAAGGTCTATCATTTGAATCAACATAATTGGAAGAAGTCACTGTGGTAAATCCACCGCCCCACTGTACCCAATCCCACAATGCTCAAAAACTGTCAGATCGATGTTGATTTCTACATCTTAGGCGAACATACTGTGGCGCTGGTTGATTCCGTCGAACACACCAGAGAGAGATAGTGAAGGAACTGAACACTGGATATTGTAGATCTGACTGCACGGTGGAATCCGACGACCTTGTAAATCTGACTGGATTGTGGAATCAACGTCATATACCCGTTGTTGTGTGTAGGGAAAAGTCTCTCATGATCCCCCTTTTCACGAAGGTCTACCTCGTTATGGAACAGAAGCAAGGATTAACTTGGTTAGTTCATCGACCTAGAACTATCTTCGGTTTTTCGCCTTATAGCATGATGAACATAATCAATACTTTATGCGCATACACTACAATTTGTAAACACGAAGGGATTCCATTGAAATTCCTAAGGATTAAGGAAGCTTGAGATCATTACTCTGATGTTTTAGATGTCGATTTGATAGTTGAGCAACATATATAGGTTGGTGATTATGGACCGAAGGAAGAAAGGAATAAACGAAAGGGAAAGGAAGAAGGAGGCGTTGGGGTGGGGTTTTAGAGAGAGAGAGAGAGAGGTGGGACCCTTTATATATTAAATAATTATATTTAATTTTTTTTATATAAGACAAAACATCATAAATGGTCATTGTGGTAGTGAAATGACGAAAATGCCCTTCAATTAACGAACAAAACTTAACAGAGTTAGCAATAAGGACCAACCGTCAAAAGTTTTGAAAGCACATGGACCATCTATGATGTTTTTAAACCACGAGGACTAAACTTCATATCTTGGGAAACCACAAAGACCATTTATGATGTTTTTTCTTTGATTTATTATGTTAATTTTAGGTTTTTTTATTAATATTTCCAATAACACAAAAAATTAAACATTAAATGAGATTGTTAAGATGACGATCATGTTCTTAATGAGTTAATTTTGATCTAAACCATCCACCTTTAGTTATCGAGAAACTATAAGTTTTTAATGGATCTTTTATATATATATATATATATATATATATATATATATATATATATATATATATATATATATATATATATATATATATATATCGGGTATATTTGTCAAAATAGCTGTTGGTGGAAGTTACAGTATAATAACTAGCTAATTTTTTTAAATATAAAATTATTTAAGAAAAAGTTAGAAGATTGAAAAAACTAAAACTTTTAAAAATTACTTGTAGTAGTTTTTAAATTATAAATCTTCTATTTAAAATAACAGTTTTAGTTTTGTACTCGTGAACAATTTTTTTTAGTTTCATTTTTAGAAGCTAACAACTTTACCAAACACACCTACAATGAATGATATTTTATGATAATTTCCTAAAAATGTCGTGAGACTTTCCATTTTGTTATTTTAGTGGTTATTCTATCAAAATTTAGGCTCTATTGTTTGGAGAGGAAGACCGTAATTAGAAAAGAAAGGGTAGACAAATAAAAGCATAGAGACAAAAAGTAAAAATAAAAGGGAAAAGACAGAGGAAAAAGCAAAACATTGACGCCCTGCTTTTCTTTCTTCTTCAACATCCTCCTTACATATCCATCGTTCCTTTTTCACCTCTTTCTCTCTCTCCCCTCATTCTTCTTCCGTTTCACGTTTCTTGAATCTTTACACACATACACACATTATAGTCATATAAAAAATACCGTTTTTTTTTTTTTTATAATTCTGTTTCTCTCTCATCGCATTTTTACTGTCTGCATCACAAATCAATCGTATTGTTATTTCATAAAATCTTGTTTTTTTTCCCGTTCTCTAATTCCTCAATCTTCGTTCGTTCGTCATCCCAAGAAAACACAGCGAAGAGGGTGAACCCCTGTAATTCTTGATTGCCAAACGTTGATGATGGTGCCAAATTTTAGCGGGTGTTAAAGAATTAGGGTTCGCAGATTGATAATGTAGCTTTTATTGCAATTACGATTAGGGTTTGTTCGTTTTATTGTTTATGTAATTCGGAATCTTCATTTTTTGGTGCATGGGATGATAATCGGCTATTGATTTGGCGAATTTTGTGGAAATTGTTAAGTTGGGTAACTTTTCTTGGACCCTAATTAAGGTCTGGTTACGTATATATAGATCTGAGTGGGGATTGAAAGTTAATTTGAAGAAACAATTATGGATCATATTGTTGGTGGAAAGTTTAAGCTTGGTAGGAAAATTGGCAGTGGATCCTTTGGTGAACTTTTTTTAGGTATAATCATAATTGGGAGATCGATTTTAGGCATTATCTCCATATACATATATACGCGCCTACACGTATACATATGCGTGCATGTTTCCTTTGCTGATAATCTTCTTGTTTGATGATATTGCAGGTGTTAATATTCAAACCGGCGAAGAAGTAGCTGTTAAACTGGTATTAACTTCCATCTCTGATGATTTCTTTAGTGTTTATGATTGTTCTTATCATCATTTTTGTTGCAAAAACTAAAATACATTTTAACGTATAGGAATCTGTCAAGACAAGGCATCCACAACTTCATTATGAATCAAAAATATATAGGCTTCTCCAAGGAGGAAGTGAGTTTTTCTCTAAAGTTTATACATTTATCTCAAGAATCATTTTTCTTACAACTTATAATGAATTGGTGTATTCTTGCCAATTAATCGGTTAAATTCATTTATTTGTGTTGTGAAATGAAGCGGGAGTACCAAACCTGAAATGGTTTGGTGTTGAGGGCGAATACAACATCATGGTTATTGACCTTCTTGGACCAAGTCTTGAAGACCTTTTCAACTATTGTAATAGAAAATTTTCCTTGAAAACTGTCCTAATGCTTGCAGATCAACTAGTAAGTGTTCAAAAAAGTTATTCCTTTTTCTTATAAATGATAAATCGTTTCTCATTCAATCATGTCAACAATCTTGCACAGTTAAATAGAGTTGAATACATGCATGCAAGAGGTTTCCTTCATCGTGACCTAAAGCCTGACAATTTTCTTATGGGCCTTGGTCGTAAAGCCAATCAGGTAATTTAATAATTTTTGTCCCATTGACATTAGACTCAGTCTCACTTCAATGAATGAAAATTTAATAATATTTTAATGCTCCTTTTTATGACAGGTGTACGCGATTGATTTTGGACTCGCGAAAAAATATAGGGATCTTCAAACTCATAAACACATACCGTACAGGTAATGTCTATTTTCTTCTCATGAAAGTTGCAATGTTTGATTGGCAAAATGGCGGGTCGGGTCGGGTACACGGGCGGGTCTAATCCTGATTGTGAACTCATTTGTTAGGGAAAACAAGAATCTCACGGGTACAGCTCGCTATGCAAGTGTCAACACACACCTTGGAGTTGGTGAGTGGTTTATATTTTATAACTTCTATGTTTTGAGTATAAAAGTTTGATCTTTTTGATAGTTTATAAAAATTGAAACATTTTGTGACTTTTGTAGAACAAAGTAGGCGGGATGATTTGGAATCTCTTGGTTACGTTCTTATGTATTTTATAAGAGGAAGGTGAGCACAAATAAAATGTTGGATTTCTGTAAGTTGTTTAATTTTAGTTGTATTTTACATTTTTACCCTTTAATTTTAATGATTGTCTGTGTTAGCCTTCCATGGCAAGGACTGAAAGCGGGAAACAAGAAGCAGAAATATGACAAGATTAGTGAAAAGAAAATGTTGACTCCAATTGAGGTACTGTGGTATACGTATATAGTGCTAAGTGCAAGAAATAGCAACGTATTTTCATTCAAAGCAATTTTCATTTCTATGATATAGCAAAATCTTCTTAGTGTAATGTCTTAATAAGAAAATAATACAAGTACAATTCTATAATTGGGTAGATTTTTCAAAATACAACGCCTTGTTAAGAAATTTTTTGAAAGTACAATGTTGTAATAGAAAAAAGTGAAGACAAGATGCTATAATACACAAGTAAATGTAAGTACGTTGTGCTTTTCAATATTTTGTCCTTGAAATTTACAAAAAAAAAAAAATATTTGATAGGTACTATGCAAATCATATCCATCGGAGTTTATATCATACTTTCACTATTGTCGATCATTGAGATTCGAGGATAAACCAGACTATTCATACCTCAAGAGGCTTTTCAGAGACTTATTTATTCGTGAAGGTTATCCCTTCAAATCTCTTTATACTCACTCATCTTCAAGAACTCAAACGATCAAAGTTTGTTGATCATTTTCTTTCTGTTTTATGTTGGTTTTGCAGGCTATCAGTTTGACTATGTCTTTGATTGGACAGTATTGAAGTATCCTCAAATCAGTGCCAGCTCCAGAGCACGGGTAAGCATAGTGTGTGTGTGTGTGTGTGTGTGTGTGTATATATATATATTATATATATATATATATATATATATATATATATATATATATGTCGGTTTTGAAGAGTGTGTAGTGATATATGGCGTTGTTTTTGCAGCTTCCGGGTGACACGGGGTTAAATGCTGGAACATCAATGGAAAAGCAGGGAAGAACGTCGGGTATTACTTTTAGCCAGATAGCTTACATTTTGTCTCATTCAGACGGTTTATTCAGTCCCTTTATGTATACAACAGACAAACATCATTTCCCATTCAGCCACTTTACCCATATTTGTCGGTATACACACATACATGACATCTTTAAATGCTTTGTGTTGTTAAACAGCCGGTCAAGATTCCCGTGCACTAGAAGCATTCCCAAGAAGAAATATAGCAACCGGCGGCCGCTACGACTTTTCAAGACACCGGACTCCCGATGATATGACTTCCTCAAAGGATGTGGTAAGATTATATGTATATATAATTTAATATATAATCTTCATGGTTATTCTTATCACACTTGTACTTTGAATACAAAAAAGAGTTACTTTTCCAACAACCCCTAGACTGGGCCCACTCTACCCCAAAAGCGTACCGTATTGTTAATCCACATTGAAATTGAAACTCCTACACTGTAGCTCTGCTGAGACTCGAACCATTGACCGTTTCTTGTTTACAGCAACCTGATTCAGACAAATTGCGGTCATCTCGAAACGGGAGCTCGTCAAAATTTGCTGCAGCCTCAGGCACAAGACCAAGTTCATCGGGCGAACAAACACCAACTGAAGGGCAATCATCAAGCCGTATCATGTCAAGTGTTGGGGGACGCACGTCTACTACTCAAAGAGCATCATTTGGTTTAGGTTATGATGCCAAGTCATCGGGCTTTTCTCGTCCAGCTAAAGGTGGTCGTGAAGATCCGCTCAGGAGCTTTGAGTTCCTTCAAATCAGGAAGTGAAAGGTAAAAGATTACCGTTATTGTAAAAAAAAAAAACAGGAGGATTTCTGTTTTTCGGTTTTCTACTTTTGTATTTTTAGGAGATTTGATTTGGATGGGTCTGTGTATTTGTAATGGTTATAAACACTAAGGTTATACTTGAATGCTATGGTGTCGGTGGTTATTTCTTCCATTATTTTGCTTGTTGTGATTGATGTGAATGTTGGTCACCTTCAAAGATTTTATCCCATCCATGATCAACAATGGTGATAATGGTGGTTGTTGAACACAAAAGCATTCCTAGCTTTCAATGTGGTAATGATCCAAAGGGAAGAATAGAATATGCAATTGCGTCCCTATAATTTGTGCTTCAAGTCTCAAGGTAGGGATGTGCTTCCAGCCGGAACCGACCCGAATAACCCGAAACCCGAATTAGATGAAAAGTTGGAACTGAAACCCAGATTTATTATACTAATACGGGACCGGTTCGGTTCGAATAATATGCGTTTTGGTTCGGTTATTAACCCGAAAGGACCGAAATAGCATGTACATTATGCTTTTGAACTCAAATGACCTAAATAATCTAAATAAACCGAAATGACCCGAATATCCCAAATAAGGAACTTCTATATCTAGTTCAAGAAAAAAAATATTAAACATTGATAGAGCGACGACTTCAGTAGTTCTTTTTTTTTTTTTTTTTTTTTTTTTTTTTTTTTTTTTAAAACTTTGATTGGTGGGTACGACAATAAGCAATACGCAAGAGCTAAGAGTGATCGATCAAGTGACTTCAGTTTTTGGGCCGGTCCAACCTTTATTCGGATAACCTGGACTGAATAACCCGATAATCGATTCGGGCTAAAATAGATACCCGACAACCGACCGAAATAACTTATTCGGACCTAATTCAGGTCGGTCCGGATTCGGTTCGGTTCGGGTACTCGATCCAAATGCACATCCCTATTTGGAAGTCTACACAAGGTTTCGAACTGAACTTGATCAACATCATCTGGTACCGAAGAGAAAAAGGGCATGTTGAAATTAGAATGTCACACTAAGGCTGCGTTTGTCATGCCACAACTAGCTTATAAGCTAGTTTATTTTTCGAGATTTTTTAAATTGTTATGGTTGACAAGTCAAAAAGTAGTTTATATGCCAGTTTTTTTAAAAATTAATTAGACTAGCTTTTCAATTTTTTTTTTAAATATTCCAAATATACCTTTAATTAGTTATAGAATCTACCAATGAGGTCCAGTTCAATCGGACGGAGGCACACTCCAGTTTTCCCCTCCCAGGGTTTCTGGGAGAATGGTGTCGAGTTCTATCCGTGTCCAAAGCAGTGAAACTCCTTAATGGGAAACTGGGTTGCTAAGGATGTTGTTGTTATCTCTTCGGGGAGGGATCGAACCTGAATTTGTTCGGTGTTATAACATACTGCCTTATCGGATATCACTGCCCGCTGCACCAAACCGTTGTTCAAAAAAAAGTTATAGAATCTCATCGTCTTAAACGCTTTTTTATGTCATTTTATATCATCCAACTATCTTATCAACTTATCAAATGTTATTTTTTATTAGATAGTTTTTCAGTTAGTATGTCAAACATAACTTAAAAACTAAAAATCAAAAAATCAAAAAGTAATTTTAATTATGTTTGTAAATAGTAACATTAGTAAACTATGTTTTTTTGTTGTTCCTTTTTTATGCTATTTGTTTAATACGCTGACTTAAACTAGATAAATAATTTAAGCTGTAACGCCCAAATCTTGAGGTACTTTTTATGTAATTGGATTTATCTTTTTGGGGATTACCACGGCGTGGTGGAAGCACCACCACGATGTGGCAAGGCAATATGGGTCGCATGTTCATTCAAGTCACCACGACGTGGCAGTATTGGCCACAGTGTGGTGACGTATGGCATGCAAACCCTATTTTTCGGGTTTGCTCCCTATTTAAATAAATGAGGAGGCTAGGGTTTGCTCATCCTCGGCCTCCATCAGTTCCCTCAAGCCCCAAAGAAACACTAATCACTTTCTTCCATTATTGAGCTAGTTTTGGTGTTCCTTGAAGCTAAAGGAGGAAAAAGGAAGAAGGAAGAAGCAAAGATCAAACAAGCAAGTCACCATTCTTTACCCTAGCACTCTTCTGGACCTTTGTAAGTGTTCAAGACTCGATTTTTATCATGATAGGTTGCTAGATCTTGAGTTTTGTCCCATTAACTCCTTGTTCTTGCTTGTTGAGATGATGAGATCTCATAAAGTTTGCAACTTTTTGAATTTCTGGTACATTTGGAGTATTTTGTGCCATGGATATGGAGTTTGGTGGAGTTTTTGATCTATGCATGAGATTAGGTCATAAAACCATAATTTTGACCTAATATGGGTTCAAGAGATGCATTGTACATGCATGTGTATAAAGAACCAGCTTTTAAGTTTGTTTTGGTGCTAGAATCACTTCCGGAAAGAATGGATTGCAGACCTTATGGAATAAATGCTTATTGGTTAAGTTCTTGCATTATTAAGCATTTTTTGGACCTTTGGATGGTCCTATTAGAAACTTTATCCTTCAAGATCACATTTTGGACCAGATCTGAGCTTTGGGGTCCTTTGAATCGAAGAAAACAACTTCATGTATTAAGCTGTTGTTGCCTTGGCAACCACGACGTGGTCCTAGATCACCACGACATGGCGGTTGGGATTTTCCCGTCTGTTTGGTTGTATGTGGACCACATCGTGGCCAAGGAAGACTACGTCATGCCGGTCGGGTAGAGTCAACATCGGCTGTTGACTTTGACCATTGATGTCACACCCCCAAACCAAGGATGGCGGAAACGTCTGGGGGTGGAGGACTTCATGTATAGTATCACAACAACGAGTATAATAGTGCTCAAAGTAAATACAACCATCATAAATGTAACAACGTAAATTTTCAAAACAATTTTTCATTTTTAAATCATATTTTCAATCATCAAAAACAATATCAAACAAACTGTATCCAATGTCATCATAACAACAAATCCCAGAATCTCGAAACATAATCTCTATGAGTGTGTACGGATCATGCCGGCGCCTTCCCACGGTCCTCGCTAGTACCTGAAACACATAACACAACAACTGTAAGCATAAATGCTTAGTGAGTTCCCCAAAATACCACATACAACACATACGCCACTCGAGGCTACAATACGACCCTCTGGTCGATGTGTCTCAGCGGGACCCTCCAGTCCCGTAGCTCGTTGGACCCTCTGGTCCGGTCATAGCTCGTCGGATCCTTCGGTCCAGTCTGTGTCGTTGGACCCTTCGGTCCGGTCTATATCGTTGGGCCCTCCGGCCCGGTCTGTTCAACACATAGCATACATATAACACAATGCACATAATCTCATATATACACATAGCATACAAGACCCTCTGGTCTACACATAAATACCACTCTAGGTAATGTATAGTGAGAAGACTCACCTCGGGTATCTCGGATGATCTCGCACACGAATATACTGATCTAGCCCCCGCCTTATCACATACACAATATCCTCAAATAAATAATGGCTCTCAAAGGCTAGATTAAATCCCCTTCTACAATCCCTCAGAAGGGTAAAAGACCATTTTACCCCCCCCCCCCCCCCCGACCCAAAAGTCCAAATGTTGACCAAAACCCTAAAAGTCAACGAAAGTCAATGGTCAAACTTTGACCCGACTCGTCGAGTGCACATGGGCGACTCGGTGAGTCCATGCGGGTCCTCTGAATCCTTCTAGCCTCTCTTGGCTCGTCGAGTCATCCCTTTACTCGACGAGTTACACCTGTCACGAATCGCGAGGCAACCCCGACTCGACTCGTCGAGTACACTAATGGACTCGGCGAGTCCCTTCCATGGCAACACTGAAATGACCTTCTGAGGTCAGATCTGCTCCTCTAACCTATAGATCTGACCTTCCCAAACACGATAATCACGTAAAGGTTCGAACTTTAGGACCATGCATCACACTATCACCTCTATATGCCAAAATAACCCTTAATGTGATAACCTAAGCCCCAAACTCAAAAAAGGACTGCATAAAGCTGGAAAATAGGGACTCTCTGGACCTCTCAAGGTCCAGATCTGAAGATATTGACACAAGGGGACATCACATTCACTGGATCTTTTACCAAAAAGAAGAGAAAAAGCCCTAGATTCATGAAATCTATTACTCAAGGAAAAATGGACATGAATCCTTACCTCTCACAGCAGCTCTGAACGAAATGATGGAAGATTTGAGTCCCACAAGTCAGCCTAGCTCGAAATCTTTCCTTCCCTTTGCTAAAACACACTCAAGAATGATGGATTAGACTTCCTCTTGCACTACAAGCTTCTCTCTGCTCTCTAGGGTTTCTCAGGGGAGTAGTGGCCGCAAATGAAGGCCATAAAGGCCTTTAAATAGGGCACAGACCCTGAGATTTAGGGTTTCACTTTACAGCGCGGACTCGCCGAGTCCACTCATCGACTCGTCGAGTCCGGTCATTAATCCAGACAAGAACTCGCGATCCTACTCGGCGAGTCTGAGCGTCTACTCGCCGAGTCCCTCCATAAAACCCAAGATAAATAATTAAAATAAGATACCTGGGAATCCGGATGTTACAATTCTCCCCCACTAGAATCAGACTTCGTCCACGAAGTCTCATTCTACAAACAACTCTGGGGTGTAGCTTCCGCATCTCCGCCTCCGGCTCCCAAGTCAGCTCGGACCCTCTCCGATGTTGCCACTGGACCTGAACCAGGGACACCTCCTTGTTCCTCAGAACCTTTATCTTCCGATCCCGGATCGCGATTGGCCTCTCAGCATAATTCAGGCTCGCATCCACCTGAATATCCTACAGCGGTACCACCGCCGACTCGTCGGCCATACACTTTCTCAACTGGGACACGTGGAAGGTATCATGTATCTGACTCAACTCCGTAGGTAGCTCCAACCGGTACGCTACCCTGCCCACCCTCGCGATCACCCTGAACGGCCCAATGTACCGGGGCCCCAGCTTGCCCCTCTTCCTGAATCGAATCACTCCTTTCCAAGGAGACACCTTCAGGAGTACGAAGTCTCCCACCTGGAACTCCAGCTCGGATCATCGCCTATCCGCATAACTCTTCTGGCGGCTCTGAGCTGTTAACAACCTCTGTCTAACCTGATGTATCTGCTCGGTCGTCTGAAGCACTATCTCAGTGCTGCCCATCACGCGTTGTCC